CTAAAACTACACTATTTCTGAGAGATTTTGTTCGAAGAAAATGATTTTATTTGATTTTTTTCTGTCGGCAAAAAAAAGGCGAAGACAGCTAGAAATAAGTTTTTGTAGTAGATTTTACCGCTAAACTGAAAAACTCGCAAACGCTTCTCAAAATTCTGGCAGAAAATTGTACCTTTTTTTGAAATTTTTCGGACTAGATCCTACAGCTCCCTTCATCCGATCGAAATGTTTAAATAGAAGCGTTGATACGCACACCATCTGTTAATTTTCGCTTCGTCTACATTTTGTACACTTTGGTCTACAAAACATAGTGTATCTGTGCATTCGATTGTAGCGCCGTCTTTCTTCTGTTCAACAAGGAAATGCTTAAAAATTTATTGCCAAATCCAGTTTCACGAAATCGTCTAGAAGAACAAATGAAATCAACAATGTCATCGCCGTTTTTATGCATAAAAGGATCTTATGATTGTCGAGATCATTATATCGTTCCGGTAGATTCACCATTTGGCATTTATATACTTGATCATTGTTGCTTTGTGCCATACATTGATCTTCTTAAAGATGAACAAGCTGTCCATCATCTACGACAAACATTAAATGATTTGATCGAAAAAATTAGAACTAGCGAAGGTTTTAATACACCTAATGGAAGTTGCATGCCTACCTTTGATGATTCTGACCTCAACGAATATGGTGATGACGACGTTGATTATAGTCAAGTAACACATGGAGGGATGCTCTTTATTCATTCCACAATGGAAATGATGAATCTATTCAAATGGAACTTTCCTCCACCTGATCGAAAATGAATGAAATTTGTTAGACACTCATGAAACTCAGTACATGATCGAGAGAAATGATTTTCTTTTTTTTTTCTGGAACAAAAGTAGCTCATTTGTTGTAAAAATAAATGTAAACATATCAGTTGACTCGGTATAACTGAATACTTTTATCTCATAATGACCAAAGGTCATTTAGCATAATTGGACACTATCAGAAAAATGATTGTTAACGCTTAAATAGAACTAGCAGTTAAGCATGGTCTTGCGTATATCGAAAGGACTTCATTCTTTCTGTCATATGTCTACTTTTGAATTCCAAACAAAATCATCTCATGATGTTATTCGAAAAATTTCATCATTACCTAACCATTGATCAGTTTGCTGCGTTTGTGTGTTTAATGACAGTCAATTCAATTGAATTTCTCCATCAACTCGGTTTTTAGTAAGCATTATAAAATATAAATACGCAATTGCTTAGTTAGAATTATAAATCTTTTTTGATCAACAATTTTTTCAACTTATTTATTATCGTACGATTTTTCATTATATCATATTGACTCTATATATTGCAACACATAAGCATACTATAACTTTTCATGTGTCAATCGAAGTGTTAAAAGGTGTTTTCTAATGTTAGATAAGTGTTTTTTTTAGTTACATTTAGTTATCCATAAGAAGAAACATTTTCCAGTAAAATCTATGAATCGACAGATTTGCATGATTATGGACTATTATTTCCCATAAAAAGTCGACGTTAATATTTCAATCATTTCGAGTTGGAATAAAATTCCATATATAGGATTTGATAGAGCAAAGTCTCCTCTACCAAACCCAGTAAGTCACCAAATTTTGGAATCCGTCTTAAGCGACTTCCTACGGACCGAGTTTGAGCACCCTCATTTTTTGATAGGATACAAGAATGGTTCTGAGAAAAATTTTATTGGGTTTGTGGAAAATAAGAAGAAACATATGAGTGAACGCGCCAGATCATGAGGAACCAGAATATATAATTGGAATTAATTTTCGCTTATTGAAAATCGAAAAGTGAAGACCACAAAATTTAAGAAATTTTCAAGTTTTCTGGATTTTTAGCATTTATGGTCATTTCCAACTAAACTTATGGACCCCATATCTCCCTAATGGAATGGTATTCTAAGCTGATTTTTTTACAGTAAATATTTCTCATTGAGCTCTACAAAATGGGATAACTTTCAGTCGATTCGAAGGAGTTATGTGTTTTCATGGTCGAAACTCCATGGAATAGGCCACATAGATTGGTCGTGCATCAATCAAAAAAAACTACGATGTTGTAGCGTTGTTCTATCCGTTAATGTCACACTATATAGAGATACAATGCGTACACGAAAAGAATTTACATTCGATCGAATCGGATCGAGTGTATTGTGTAGTTGTGGAAGTTAAGAAAAGATATTTTGAAACAGACAAAAAAGAAAGTATCCTATTTTCTTATCTAACTCTGCAAATGTAACAACAATTTAATAGTTTTCGGGTCACGTCTTGGAAATTCTTTTCTCCATTTCAATGAAAAGCCTATTGTTGATCAATTATCGATTGATACTATTGAAACAAGGAATGATGTTGAAATTAAAATCAACAGATTTCTTTCACGATTTTTAATAATATCTCTCACTTTTATCTCGTACATTTTTTAAGTCCCTGGGTAATGATTGGCAGATCATCTTGTTTACGTTTTACAACATCCTTGCATAATAGTTATCAACTGTGAATGATTGTCTGTTATCATAATCTCAACTTTGAAAGAAATGAAGAATATTCTTATTTTTATCGTTCATCGACGATTATTTCATATGATGAAAAACATTTTCATACATCTTTATCTTGTCAATAAATTTAAGTAAGAGTTTGCTTTTTAACTAACAATACAAATCTGTTCTATTGTAAGATGTTCGAATGTTTTTACTAAGATTTGAAATCGAATTAATCAAGAATATTAAATAAATGAATACGATTCGGACAAATTTCATCAACAAATAAAAATCGACCATCAACATTCAATGTTAAATCATGAGATTCACCAAATTTCTAAATGAATGAGAACTGATGTTGAATGTGTATAACCAAGAGCTTCATTGAAATCATTGTAACCACTAATAGCATAAAGATGATCTACTCGAAAGAAAATCATTTCATAGAAAACAAAAAAACGTCATATACATTTATGTGGATCATAAGTTATGGCATAAACGGTATTCATCGATGGATGTTCAATAATATGTTTGACATTTTCCTCGTTTTTTTTTTCATGATCCAATCCTGCATCGAAACAAACAATTCTAAATATCTATTTAATAAAACTAATTTTTCAAAAAAAGCATCGATTTCTTCTATGCATGATGATCAAAATAAAATCGATTTTCTTATTATTTCACTTTGCTAATATAGAGTATCTCTTGAAAAGTCACAGCAGCAAATGATGATGTTCGACGCTTTAAATCAAAAAGGATATTTTTATTAGAAAAAACAAAAGAAAGAATATTTAATTAACTAACTAGAGCATTAATTGTCATCGACATGACTAACAGGAAAACGAAGAATATATGTAAGCCATAGACAAACAATATTGTCCTCGCTGAAGTCACAATATAGTTTTTATTGGATAGGTGAAAAAAACCAATGATTATTTTACTTAAAAATGTTTCAGATGTTTGTAAGACATTGTTTATCTATTCGCTTTGTTCAAATTTTATTTAATAATGAACATCATTTAAGATATTTATCAACTTATAAAAAGAAAATTTCAATGAATAATCAAAAAAAAACTAATCAACCATCAATTGCGTATGTTAAAAAATTTCTTTGTTTTTTTAATTTTAATAAATTTTTAATCAATTTGTTTAAGTTCTTTTTTTGCAAAAAAAGATTCATCAATAATAAAAACACCAAAAAAAGAAGTCGAACCACCATCAATTCGTATAGAAAATAAAGAACCATTACAATCTCCATCATCAGATTCTGATGATAAATCTTTATCATTTGTTCCAACAAAACGAGCAAAAAAACGTGTTTTAAGTTTTGATGAAAGTGATCAAGATCAAAAAAGTAATTCATCAACAGAAAATATTAAAGAAACACCAACAAAAATTGTTAAACAAATGAAAATTATTGATACAAAAGATGAAAATAATAAAATAATTACTCAAATTGAACAAACAACAACTATTCCTATCGAACAGCCAACAACTATTACAATCGAACAAAAAAAGTAATTCAAGCATTTTTTTTTTTTGTCAACAAAAATTTTCAACACAGAAACAAAAAAACATTCTAGTGTTGCTGATCCTCAATCATATAATCCTGGTAAAACAAATTATGATCCAATTAATGATGCTTGTTGGAAACTCGGTGACAAGTAAATATAAAGATTCTTTTTATTCACAATGAAATTAATATCTAATAGTGCAGAATAAACTGTTCTTTTACTTTTAATCAAAATATAGTATTTGAAATTCGACACATAATGGTATAGATTATGTGATGAATATAATTTCCTCCATTCTTTTTGGATTAGACATAATCATACATCCAAATAAAGCAAGAAAAGTTATATTGTTCAACTTTTTTTGAGCAATGCATTCATTAAACTATGACCCGAACGATATAAACTGCGTGAGTTGTGAAGTCGGACTAAACTCAAGAAAATGATGAGCATAGCATTTTTATTAAGAGATCTACAGACATTGAACTGCATCATCACTTTTACCGGAAATTTCGTCTTCTCAAGAACAGCACCTTTCATGTCTATTTCTATCCTACTCAGATTCCAATCTCAGCATTGTAATTATCAGATATATTGAATTGAGTACAGCTATTTATTACTCTTGCGGAACAACAAACGTAGTATTGATAGACGAAATAAAACCTTCTATTGAAGAATCTGAAAACTAAATTTAAATTTTCTACTTCATTTGGCTGTACGATTACGTCCAATCAGAAAAGAATAGAAGAAGCTACTTTTGTTAAATAAATTGTGTCATATTGTGTAGAATCTCAAGCGCTATTATTCATTTGAAAAAAGGAAGAAAAAAAAGATCATTCGAGATTATAAATGTATCAATAAAATAAGTTATTCAATATTCTGTTTTATATTTTTAGTGTACCATACAGTGCATTATCATTAACATTATTATTAATTGAAGAGACATCAGCTCGTTTAGAAATAATTCGTATATTATCAAATTTTTTTCGTTCAGTTCTTAGTTTATCATCAAATGATTTAGTACATTGTGTTTATTTATGTGTTAATAAAGTTGCACCAGAATATGATGGAATTGAATTAGGTATTGGTGAAACAATAATTATGAAAGCTATTGCTGATAGTACTGGACGTACTGTTGAACAATTAAAATCCGATTATAAATCTAAAGGAGATTTAGGTCTTGTTGCTGAAGTAATTTTCAATTTTATCTATCATAAAATAATTGAAACTTAATTTCAATTTTAATATTCAGGCATCACGTTCAACACAACGTACAATGTTTAAACCAAAACCATTAACTGTTTCACATGTTTATAAAAAATTAAAAGAAATTGCACAATTAACTGGAAATAAAGTAAACTTTTTAATACGAATCAAAAATAAAACGATAATTTTTTTTTTTTGTTCCAAAAAAAAGAGTCAACAACGTAAAAGTGATATAATAAAAAGTCTTTTAGTTTCTTGTCAATCTCATGAAAGTCGTTATCTTGTTCGATCATTAATTGGTAAACTTCGTATTGGTTTAGCTGAACAATCAATGCTTGTTGCATTAGCACATGCATGTATTCGTAATCAATATATAAATTTAAAAGAAACAACATTAAAAGAACGTCTTGATAATGGTACACTTGCTGTTAAAGATGCTTTTTGTCAATGTCCATCCTATGATATACTTGTTGATGTACTTGTTAATAAAGGTGGTATTGAAAAATTAAAAGATTTATGTAAAGCAACACCTGGTATACCAATGAAACCAATGTTAGCACATCCATCAAAAGGTATTGATGAAATATTAAAACGTTGTGGACAAAGTGAATTTGCTTGTGAATATAAATATGATGGAGAACGTGCACAAGTAAGAAAGAAAAAAAAAAGAATTTTCAAAGGTTTTTTTTAACTGAAGAAAAATCTTTTTTTTTAGATTCATTTAACTGAAGATGGAAAAATTTATATTTATTCAAGAAATTCAGAAAATAATACATCAAAATATCCAGATATTATTGAACGAATTCCTAATGCATTTCAATCTCATGTTAAATCTTTAATTTTGGATGGTGAATGTGTTGCTTATGATATTGAACAGAAAAAATTATTACCTTTTCAAACATTATCAACAAGAAAACGAAAAGTAAGTTTTTTTTCAATATCCAAAAAAGAGACTTTTTGAAATTCTTCTTCAACTAAGACAAATTTTGTTAGCATGATTTCTTTAGAGTTAAGATGTAAAAACTATTTAATAGATCGATTCAATAGGTAACATTCGATGAATACGTTTTCCTACTGAGACTTATTTTGTATAAACTTATAACTTTTTCTCTTAGTAATTGATAAAAATAAATTATTCATTTTTGAAAATATATCACTCTACGTCTTAAAATAAACCACTAGACCTAAATTACGAAGTTTTGAGATTTATATTGAAAGAAATGATAATAATTCTGAACTTATTTCAAATACAACTAAATAAATACTTAAAAGAATTAATAAATCTATTGATTTTCCTCTCAATCAAATCATATTCTCAAGATTTTTTTGCAAATTAAAATATAATCTTATGATTTTCTTTTCATTTTTAAGGATGCTGATATCAAAGAAATAAAAGTTCAAGGTTTTTTTTTTTTTTTTTTTTGTTGTTTGAAAACAATTTTTTTTTGCATAAAATAAATTCTTAATTTAGTTTGTATATTTGCATTTGATTTATTATATTTAAATGGTGAATCATTAGTTGAAAAACCTTTTCGTGAACGTCGTCGTTTATTACATGAATCAATTCGTTGTATACCTGGTGAACTTGTTTTTGCTGAATCACGTACAACATCAAATATTGATGAAATAAATATGTATTTGGAACAATCAGTTAAAGATGGTTGTGAAGGTCTTATGGTTAAAACATTAGATAATGATGCAACTTATGAAATAGCTAAACGATCTCATAAATGGCTTAAAGTAAATTTTAAAACTAACCATAATAATTTAGTTTCTTGTTTTATTTAGTTAAAAAAAGATTATCTTGATGGTGTTGGTGATACACTTGATCTTGTTGTTATTGGTGCTTATACAGGCACAGGTGAGTTTTTGTTTTTGAATTATAGTTTTGCTGTATATTGATTTTTTTGTTTTTGTAAGGTAAACGAACCGGTGTTTATGGAGGATATTTATTAGCATGTTATGATAAAGATAATGAAGAATATCAATGTATTTGTAAAGTGAGTTTTATCAAGAAAAAGAAAAGTTTTTTAAAAAATTATATTTGAATATAATTGATTTTAGTTAGGTACTGGATTTACTGATGAATTACTTGTTTCACTTGGTAAATCATTAGAACCACATATAATACCAAAACCATTGGCTTATTATCGTTATTCTTCATCATTAGCACCAGATGTTTGGTTTGATGCAGTCAAAGTTTGGGAAGTTAAATGTGCTGATTTATCTTTATCACCTAATCATCATGCAGCTATTGGACTTGTAAGTATAACATTAAAAAAATCAATTTTTTTTGTAAACTTTCCTTTTTTTTGGATATTTAGGTTGATGAAGGAAAAGGAATATCTCTTCGTTTTCCTCGATTTTTACGTGAAAGAGAAGATAAATCAGTTGAAGATGCAACAAGTGCTGAACAAGTTGCTGATCTTTATCGTAGACAAGAAAAAATTAATAAAATGAATGCTGATAATCAAGCAGATGATGAAGATGATATGTATTAATTATTAAAGATATATTTTTCTTTTTGTTGTAAAATTTTTCTGTTCGATGTTAAATAATAAACACTTGAATTTCATCATGTTAAAAACTGAATCGTATGAAATGATTGTGTTCGAGAATACTAGCGCCATCTAATTATAATTTAAGAGAATCGGTTATGGTTTATAAATTTTTGCTCTAATATCGGACTACTTGGAGAAAATGGAGAAAGCTCTTGCTTTTCAAATCAATTGTGTATTTTTCTTGTTCGAAAATAATTCTACTAGAATTGTTATTACATGTGAAATTCTCTAAGCGTCGAACTCTTTATTGATTACTGCCGCCGCGGTGGCTCAGTCGGTAGAGCGTCAGTCTCATAATCTGAAGGTCGTGAGTTCGATCCTCACCCGGGGCATATTTTTTTTTTTCTAAATTGTTGTTCAAAACATCAGTGACATAAAAGTTGTCTTATCCTTCGGATATAAAAAGTACGAGGTAAAGTTTCAAGTTATGTTTATCTGTTATTACACATCACATCTGTATTATACCTTTTAATCGATTCAATTAAATTAGTCTCATTGTTATTCATTTTCCAAATTTGCTACGTGAGCTGTTCACAGCACGTACATAAAATCATACGTTGGGTATCAATTGTCTTTACACAAATGTATTTTTCAATCAAAACTCATTTCCGTCATAGCTATTGTACATAGCTTCACGAACGCTCTTTGAACATTATGTTCTTCAGCTAAATTATTTCTTCTGTAAGTATAATTCTTACATAATACTTTCTGATATGAGAGATCGTGAGAGCAGGACGCGAATGGGGCAGAGATGTAATCAGTTCGATCTTCATCGACCTTTACTGATTGAAAAATATTTGATAGATATTCCATTTTTTACTGATAAAACTTGTCGAGAGTAGATTTACTTGTTCTTATGAAAATTATCAAAGATTGTTATTTCAAGAACTATTTGTGTTATTTTCTTCTGTTCATCGGTGGTATTTTCTTTCTTTGCTCGAGATATATTTCATTTTTTAAAAAGTACAATCAGAGCTGTATAACTTGAGGTAAACTTATATTATGTACGTTTTGGTACAGATGAAATTTAGGTTTGGATCATCGTTAGTAAAGAAACGTTTTGTGTTTAAAAATAATGAGTAAGAAAACTCGAGATTTCAAGTTTAGCAATCACTTGATGTCTAAATGACTCAAGAAAATGCTTATTTTTTAAAACCATCCATATTGCCTAGCTATCCAACAAACTCAACCAGTTTTTTCGGCTTTCAGAGGTCTAAGCTACTATTTGAGCCAGCCGGATCGAACCATATCAAAAATTTCCGATCGATTACAATTCTGGTGTAGGAGTATACCCTCCAAATAATTGGAAATTATTCATTATTATCCAATGAAATTGACAATTTTTTCTAAATTTTTTATTACTTCTATAAGACATTTTCTTGTACACTCCACTACCCAATCTTGGTATCCTTGTGTCGCTGCTCTCTGATATTTGATTTGTCAAGAAAGTCTAGATTACTTTATATATCAGTATTTCTTATCCTTTCTATTTATATTGATAATCTTAATTGTGTGATTATGAACGATACTTCTAGAGACAAAAATTTTAATAAAAAGAAATAATTGTTTAGTATAGCTTTATCGTTCTTTCTCGTTTATGTTGTAGAGAAAAATTTCGACGACGATAAATACCGTATGAAAAAACTTTTTTAGTAAATGCCCTGTGAAGATTGTATCATCAAGAACATCGAACAAGTGTAGATCATCAATTATTTCACATGATCATCTATGTAGACCTAACTATAAAGTTTTCCTTTGAATAAAATTTATTAAAATAGGACATATTCATATCATTTCCAGCATATTCATCGATTAGATTGAATATCATCTTTAGTTATAAGATTTTATTGATATTTGAAAAAGATACAAGAAATATATGATGCGCTTATTTCTAACTACAAGAAAAGCAATATAATGAAGGAATATAGGTTTTTTCGAGAATAAAGGAGAATTATGTGCTAATAATGTCTTTATCATATTAGTAATAGTTCACGGATTGGCAAGACTAGTAACGTCTGATTGTGATAGTTCTCGATTGTAAATATAAAGTTCATCAATGTAACCCTGATAAAGTCCATTTATAGAACTCCAACTACAACTAAGCGGATAACCTATGCAAAGATTTGCGAAAGAACCGGTAGACGAGTATGACACCGTGCCAGTTGAACCAAAAAGAACTCCATTAATATACAATGTGTATCCATTAGCTGAACTATATGTCAATGACACGTGTGTCCACGTATTTTGTGTTACAAATGGACCGGTTAACCATGCAGTGGAACCAGTATTGTGTACAAACAACTGTCCTGTTAATGTATTTGATGATGAAATACCTAGTAAAATGTCACAATTTGATGTACTACCAAGTGACCAAAACATTTGAATAATTGCGATATTATTGACTGATGATGGATTTATCCACATGGCAATTGAAAATGGTTTGGCATTAACAACACCAACAGAAATCTGATAAAAACCATAAGCTCGAAAATAGGATGACGATGATCCAAGAAAACGCATTGCTTCATTGACGCGCCCAGTAGCTGAGACTATATTATTTGATGTTCCATCTAATCCATTCGGACCACTGTCAACATTTGGATTAGGTGAATCAAATGAATAGTAAGCCATTAAAGATGCATCACGTAAAATTTCTACTGAAGATTTTGCTCTTGTTGTTAATGCAACATTATCAATATAGTTCTGATAATAGCTTGTGGTCGAATAAACTTGAGCTGAACCAATGCGGATACTTCCATTTTGTCCTTGATATGGTTGTGCATTTGATTTGATAGCATCTTGAACTCCGTTGAGATATAATATTTGTTGTCGTGTTTCATAATTGTAAACAAATGCAATATGATACCAATAACTAGTTGAAATAGCTGTGGAACCAGACAAATAATTCGATGTGAAATCAACGTACAAACGATTATTTCGCATAATTAAATATAAACATTGATTAGAACAGGTTGAACATTGACATTGACCAAATATGCCACGATCAGAAGTAGTTGTTGCATAATAAATCCAAGCTTCAATAGTAAAACTTGTGTAGCTTAAATTGAAAAATGGACTCGAAACTACAAATGATTGACTTGATGCTGAAGTAAAGTTAAGTGCTTGACCATGTCCTACATATGGCAGACTATTTGAACCTGAAGCAGTAAACAATGGATTGTTTACAAGTAGGCCGTTATAAACACCATTTGAATCTGCTGTTGTACTATCGAAACTCCAATATGCAGAAACATTTACGGTAGATGCAGTAGTAGTTGTTGTACTTGTTTCTATGATAAAAAATACCCAAAAAGGATCAATGAGTGATTGAATACAATTGCCACTATAAGAAGTTTACTATGTCTTTTTAAAAACCTATATATTACTCTGAGAATACTAAGGATCATAGAAAAATTCTTATCTCATGAATAATTATAGACGATTAAGATAGAGTTTAACGTTGAAAAGGAATTCAAAATTATTTAAAGTAAATTTACCTTTGGATTTCGTAAGCAAAACACCAAGAACAGTGGCAACTGTAATAACAGATGCGATTATCAAAGATGTTGAAGTGCCCACTAAAACCTTCTTTCTTGTTGACCATCTGTAAAATAAATGAATAGGATTAGTGCATAGAAAAAAAATAAAAAAATGTTACTTTGATATAGTAGGTATTTGATGAAGATTATTAGTTGTGATTGTTGACTCTTGAGTTGGTGGTTTATATTTTTGAAGATGAGAAGATAATGGAGGTGATGGTGGGCTGGATATCTAAGAAAAATAAATAATTAGGTGTTAATTAGGTTTTTAAAAAATGACTGTAGATGTAAGATGTGTTTAACTTACTTTTGAATGATGTTGATTGTTATTATTTGTTTCTTCAATATGATGTAGACGAACATTTTTAGGTGTTTCAAGCGAAGAAATATATTTCTTTTGACGAACGTCAAGTTGAGAAATAGCACTTTTACTAATTCGTCTTTCAAAGGGCTAAAACGACATTAACATAGAATAAAGTTTTTAGACAAGAAATGGACATTCAATGCAGTTATGGAAATAACTCCTGCTACCGGGTAAAAAAAGAGTGCCTAAACTTTAATCCTGTAGTATGATAGCTCGATCACAAACAGAGCAATGTTGAATTCTGATTGTAAGAACTGATTAGGAGTTAATCAGTCCTTATGCGGAGGGCTTGAGGATCAACATAGATTTTTCTTCATACAAGGATATGTCATGATATCAAATCTCTTATTCGATTGCTTAATGTTTCCTCTTTCACCAATAAAAATTCCATGTCAAGTGGTTTTAGCTCATCTGATTTATGAAGTAATCTTTGAGTAACCTACATGTGAGAGATGATGAGAATCGTTGCAAATGACATATGTAGCTTCAGTTCATCTTAAATACTTTGCATTAAGGTTTCTCAGCTTCAGGTTTCTGGTCACAATCAAGATTTACTGAACTCTATTTCTAATCAAACTATCAGACGAAAATATTGAAGTTTTTGTACTTTTCACTCAGTAATGAGATTTCTTGCGGTTGCATTGTAAGCAATGTAGAGAATTAGTTTTCTTTATTTTTCGCGATTTGAATCACAATTAATCAATGATGAAATACCTGATAGTACGAGCGTTGCTCTTTCTCTCCACTAATTTCAATTAGAATCACTCAGGTTTATATTGATTTTGTACAATCAAGCTTCGACTATCACCATAGAAGTCCTCTAGGGTGTAATGTATATTTATCTATCCATCGTAACAATTAAGAAAATCATTTTAATTGAAAAATTCACATAGGCTATCATTCATTGATAAAGATGTCTCATCAATCAGAAAAATTTGGCAATGTTTAAAGAGTATTTCATAACTGTCGAGCCATTTTCATATTTGTATGCTGACGGTATGTGAAGGTGAATGGTTGTGAAATATACAAATTTGAAG